GCATACCAGAAAATCAGGGGGTTAATTTTAAAATTTCAACTTAGCCAATAACGAGAGCCTATGGCCCATAACATCTGAGGCCCGGTTTCCACCAAAGCGGAGCGAAACGGAGCAGAGAAGTGTGTTGAAAATAATCAATCAGATTTCATTATTTCCACTTCTCGTTGTCAAAATTTCTATAGAAAAAAACCGGCAAAGTGCGAGTCGGACTCGCGCACCGAGGGAAGTTATATACCCGTTTTTGTACGGAAGGTGCGCGAGTTCAACTCGCACTCGGCTGGTTTTTTTTTTCTGTTTTTGTGTGAAAATCTTAATGCGGTTCTTAATCTTAATATACATCCAGGAAGCACAAAGCTGAATGGGAAAGCTCCAACGGTATGAGCCACTCCAAACTATTCCTAGTTGGAAACACAAGATCATGGGAAAAGCTCATACTCAATGGAAACAGAAGGCAAGCCCGAGTGACCACGGGTGCGCTAACAGGACACTACACTACAAACCACATGCTCCACAAAATGGGCCTAACTACGGATGACAGCTGTCGAGCATGTGGAGAACATGCGGAGTCCATGAAACACCTACTCTGCGAATGTGACGCGCTAGCTAGAACTAGAATGGGTCTCCTGGGGTCGGCTTATCCGACACCAGAAGAATATAGGTCCTTCTCACCCAAGCTCTTGATCCACTATATGGAAAGGATCTTTGCGGATGAGGGGGGATAAAGGTATAGGGAAGCACAAAAGATCCTAATGGGTCGACGTGCCCTGCGCCCATGCGCGGCCCTAAAATAAGATAAGATAAGATAAGATAATGCGGTTCACAAAATACATCTACTTACCAAGTTTCAACAGTATAGTTCTTATAGGTTCGGAAAAAAGTGGCTGTGACATACGGACGGACAGACAGATAGATATGACGAATGTATAAGGTTTCAGTTTTTTGCCATTTGGCTACGGAACCCTAAAAATTGACGGCTCTACACTTCTCCGCTCCGCTCTGCTTGGTGGAAAGAGGGCCTAATAGAGTCAGTAGCGGACATTGGTGTATTTCGAGAGGCAAAGGCCATAGTTAGAATTGGTTTGTAACCACTAATTTTATTAAAATAGGTACACCGTTTGCCAGATAACTAAATTACATATTTTATACGCCTGCATATAAATAAGATAAATTATTAAATTATTTTAACCGCCTCTGTGGTCAGTGGTAAGACCACCTACTTCAGACACTGAGGTCCCGGGTTCGATTCCCAGTGAGGGCAGACTGTTCTGTTCGGTTTGGTTGGTGGTAGGGCTTGTTCTAAGTCCGCCTGGCTAGCTACCACCATCTTACCTAAGTCTGTCGCCATAACAATAATGTTAACAGCATTGTTGTGTTCCGACAGTTAGAGGTAAGATAGCCAGTTCCTCCGTGGTTGAGGATTCCGGGTGAAGCTCGCTTCCACCTTCGGCCTGATCATCACTTACCATCAGGTGAGATACAGGCCAAGAGCTTCCTCGTTGTGGATAAAAAAAAATACCAAAACGCGGATAAAACGCAAAGGTTGATGGAATAAAATGTCAATTATTCTGTTGACCTTCGATTTTGAAGTTTGCGAAATAGCGACAGTATTTTTTTCCAAAAAGCCCATTTGTCTGATGTTAAATTTACATCATGCTGTTGGCACATGACCGCTGGCACATTCTTTACATAATTTAGAAATATACCTAGGTAAGAGCAAGTATTTTTTGTTAGCTAAAATCTCAAAAAAACTATTATTAAGTCTATTTATTGTTGGAACTCCTGTAACATTACGAAGTGAATAAATGAATATGAATATGAATAATCGGAAAAAAAGAAGACCACAGAAAAATACATAAAGCATGTGCGTAAGTAAATTGCAACGTGACAGTTTTCTATTTCTATAGCTCTATAAAATTTAATCGCTGATCCCATAACTTGAAAAAAAACTGACATTATTTAAGTAGTGACTTTAGTTTCTCGCACTGCTTCTTCTCAGCACTGGCCCATTTATTGTCCCGAAGCAGTGGTAGGGTTAATACTAAGACGTGTAAAAGTACTTTTAAAAGTCTACTTGAAAAATAAAATTAGTTTGTGTTTTATGAATTTTATGTCAATCCCATCATAAAGTCAATCAAATGTCCAACTAATACTAAATTACTTAAAAACTAAGTAACTCTACGAAATCAATCTATGAAATCATAATTAATTCAAACCAGTTAAATCCAAATAGGTACTGCCTACACTGAATCTATTTACTTTAATGTAAAAACTATTCTATCGAGCCAAATCGCGTTGGTTTTATTGAATACCCAAACATTACAAGTATTATTATTGTGTTTAATATTTACTTAGCGCTTAGAATTTTATAAACCACAATTTTTTTGTTGCGATTCATACTTTTTACTGGCAATTGACGCGCATTCGATAAATAGTTTATGGTATACCCATAAATATACTCGTATTAATATGATATCATCCACACATTCGTCATCATCAGCTTAAACATTATTTTCGGCATTTTATGATAGTTTTTACGGTTGGGAACTTTTCGATCTGAAGAAAAAATATTGCATCCTGTTCAAGTAAGCATCAAATGGTTAATGTCACCCAAAGTAGCCAATAATTCGCAACACGTCTTTGTTAATTAATGATTTGTCCAGCAGTGGACGTCTTTCGGCCGAAACGAACGAACGAACGAACGTCTTTGTTACAATTGGAGTAAGGTTATCAACTTTTTGGCCACTTTGGGTGTCACGAACTACTTGATGCTGACTGTACCTTGTATAAGATTTTTTTTAACACTTAAGCTCGTAAAATCGCTGTTTTAAATGGCTCTATTATACCGTTTCTAGGTTTACACAACACACAGCATAGTCATACCACACTTGTACGATAGCGTACCTACATTGTTTTACAAATATCAGCAGTGTTGTTATTTTTTGTCATTTTTTTAATGAACTACGTGTACGTAGACTTTTTTGTCAATGTATTGAGATTAGTCAAAATGTACAATACTAAAATATTTCATTAGATTTAAAAAAAACAAGTCGTTCTTTTAAAAATGCAGCTTCATACTTTTAATCATCATCGTCAAAATAGTATTTAGGTACCTTCTTGTATAGATCTCCCAAAATTTTTCCACTGTCTGGCAAAACAGACAAAGTTTTGCCAGAATGTATCGTTCTAGCTTTAATTGATTCACCAAATCTATACTTATAATAAATCTGTAGAGAGGTCAATTCTGTACATGAAATATACATATTTTCAAAATAACTATCAGGGGGTGATTAGTGATCGATACTGATGCCAAAAATGCAATCAGTAAAATTTTTGTCTGTCTGTCTGTCTGTATGTCTGTCTGTCTGTCTGTCTGTCTGTATGTTCCTTATAGAAACAAAAACTACAAGACGGATTTTAACGAAACTTGGTACAATTATTCTTCATACTCCTGGGCAGGTTATAGTATACCTAGGAATTCCCACGGGAACAGGAATTAGCGGGAAAATTCTTTTGTATGAAAAATCTAAACCGCTTAAGTTAGACGCTTGAAATTTGGCATGTAGGTACCTTAGTAAACTTAAAGCTTAGTTACAACAAGGAATTCCCGAAATTCCCACGGGAACGGAAATAAACGGGAAAATCCTTTGGAATGAAAAATCAAAACCGCTTAAGTTAGAAGCTTGAAATTTGGTATGCTATTACCTTAGTAAACTTAAAGCTTAGTTACAACAGGATATTGCAAAATTCCCACGGGAACGGGAGTTAGCGGGAAAAACATTTGTATGAAAAATCTTAACCGCGTAAGATAGATGAAGAGGGTAAAACGGGATCCACGCGTACGAAGTCGCGGGCGGCCGCTAGTCATAAATAAATTACTTTGTCAATATTTTGTATGTGGTGTTAGAAACGTGTTTTCGTGTTGCATCACTGCACTCAGGTTTTACAGTCTTCATCGTGCATCTAACAAACAAAAATACTTATCCAAAATTTCTGAGCTTCTAAACTTCTAATGCCCATCAATCTAATAAACTGAACCTGAACGAACTTGCAGGGGTATCAAGACATATGGGGAGACTTAATTTACTGATTAGGAGTATTAAATTATGCCCCTTTTCACCATCAATCCCTAATTTTTAAGTGACCCCTATGAAAACAAAATGCCTGATATGTGTTACCATAGGGGTTACTTAAAAATTAGGGATTATGGTGAAAACGGGCATAATACCACAGAATAATAATAAGTACTACGTACAGAAGTTTTACTTCGCGAAGGTATTTAAAAAAAATATGCTCAATGTCATTAACAATATGGTGTAATTTAGCCTGTCTCAAGAGTCAAGCACGCACAAGCAGCCATTTTGTTGACAAACGTCAGTGATCGGCACTGCGCCGAAGCTATAGGGCTGACTTCGGTAAAATGATGTGACGTGAGGTGCCAAACTGCGGAAAATGGCGGAGGAAATACATGATTTAGCATGAATTGAGAATGTTACTAGGTATGCAAAATCACTTGAAACCTATGTTACAGTTAAGCTTTTACATTTGGGGCNATGAATAAAACTACTTATTTACCTCTCAGTGTCTTGAGGCAACTTAAAAAAGTACATTCTGTGTTTTTATTATTATTTAGGCAGTTAAATACTGCACAGTATTTAGTACACCATTTTCTTTATTTTCTTCCATCATACACAAGAATACGCGTGCGTGAGTCAATGTTCGCTCGTATATGAGGCCTTGTCGAATAGTATCCTGTAGGTGGGCCATCGTGCGTATTTAGTTTTCGATGTAAACTCGCGGAGATGAACAGGCCTGATAATACTCCTAATTAGTAAATTAAGGCTCTCCCTAAAAGTCTTGACCCCAGCACCTTCTTTTAGGTTAATTAAATACCAAAATTGACCAAAAACTGATAAGAGGTTCATGCCCTATCATCCTTCGTCATCCATCATTCCTACCTTCATAGGTAGCATATACTCGTAGATAAAAAATATGAATAAAAAGCAAGGGTATCAATTTATTAGGTAAACAACGCTATCTAGAATATCGGTAGTATTGAGCTCCACTTCGACCAGGCCCGTTAGTAGTCCACTCCCACTCATCCAAGTCCTGGTCATCATCATCTCGTCTGTACAACCTCCTTTGAGGATATTCCTCTCTTCCCTCCCATATATCTTCTCCCCCGTCCTGTTCTTCCTCAATGATTTCCAAATCATCATCGTCTAATGTTCTTTCGTCTTCCTCTTCATTTCCTTCTTCTTCCTCTAATATTTCTTCTAAGCCATCATTTTTATCTCTCTGAATCTCATACTCCACTTCTGCTTCGGGAATTTCCTCCAGTACTTCTCTATGTGCTACTAGATGTTGCCTTCTTACTGGCGGAACTTCTATAACCTCTGGCTCGGGTTTTTCTTCGATTTGCTGTGGTTCTTCTTTCTCTTCTGTCTTTTCCTCTGAAACTTCTGAACTTTCTTTGTCTGATTTAGTTGAAAACGTAAAAACTTTGTGTAATGATTGCATTGGAATGACGAATGTGAGCGTTAAAATTATCGACGACAGAAGAATTGCCACGATTTCTTGTACGTTTAACTGTGAACAAAAACAAAAACACAATGATTTATAATTAACTTAATTTACGATGCATCTGAATTTAAATAACTATGGGACTCCTTGAGATGGATGGCAAATTTAGAAATAAACATCGAGTGGAATTTAAAATGCTTCATAAATTTATGTGTTTGTAGAAGCCTTCCACTTCCCATTCAAAGACGCGGCGTGAATGTAAAGAGGTCATTACTGGCCGCCCATTGCGATACATACACGGATATTTCTAGCAACATTGCTTAAAACAGGTCCGAAGTCGTTACACATGTTACAAAACTGTTATCAACTAAAAGTAACTATGAATTAATCTATTTTTGGATGTAAACAAAAACACGCTTACGGAAAGTTGGGGTTATTTTTTGAGCCCACTTCTAGACGCTTCGTCGTTTATTTACTATCATAATTAGAAGGTTCTACAGTAGATTAGTAATCCAATTATTGTGGGGTGGCGGATATTTTTAAAAGTTTTTTGTGGCTATTTTTAATGTTGTTATTGGAAGAATGATTTAAGTGGCGAGAATGTTTTGAATATTAACTTTAAACTAAACTTAAAGAACAGCTCTTTGAATAATATTGGTTCTAGATAATTTATTTTTTATTGAGGCTGCTTAAGATAAATATAAGTAGGTATACTTTTTCCGACAGTGTTCCTGAATACAGTTTGACATTTCTCTGGTAAACTTTTTAACTGTATCTCGCGATCCATATTACTTTACTGGACATAATATATGCGTAAAAATGCAGACTTCGTCTCTGGTCAGGACATGAGATACCATCGGAAAATAACCTGCTGTCACGGGCTCACCCAAACCGAGTTATTTATGTAGGGGCAGTTTAGCCCCGTGACCCTGTCGGGTGGACGCAAAATATTGTGGGGAAAACCCTGGAAATGTGATATGTTGACGGCAGACTTAGATTTTTATCGCAAAATAGCATCTGTTAAAATTACATAAGTTATCATAGTATTTTTTAGTCTTCGTGAGTATATTTTGCATAGAAGAATTAACGACTGTATGTTTGCGTTTAGAATTTAGAGTACTAAACTCAATCTGCATGCAAGGATAGTCAGAATTTTGTCCTTATAAATCTAATTATGTTGCTCGTATTGTAAGATAATTGTTAGGCTTGTCAGTTCTACCGGGTTCACGTCTTTGTATCCGTATCTTCCACTTGGGTTTTTTGACAAAACAGCCTAATTATATCAGATTTTAAACTTTCGCGTTCCATTTCAACTAAAATAGTAAGACACGGGTCTTAACGCGACGTTTTTATTGAGTTACATTATGTACTCACGGCTTATGAGTTACATTATGTAGTCTGCTTGTGACCACGGCTGCAGCATCGCAGCCGAAACGTCAAGCCGTGACTACATAATGTAACTCAATAATAAACGTCGCGTTAAGACCCGTGTCTTACTATTTCAGCCTTATTATTCGGAAGAGTACTGCTTGGTGTAGTTACAATCATACTATTATTTTTTATTATTGGCCACATTGTTGTATAAAAAAAATGAATTTTTTGACATGGATTATGTACAATCAAGGCAATTGGACATGACTCCAGCCTTTGTTGAATACAGGATCATTATAACACTGATGCGCAAAAGTCCAATTGCGCAATTCTCTTGAGATGCTGAATATGCTGGGTAGAACTTACCAAGGATGTAAGAGTAAATTCAGTAGAAGTTCTGACTGTGCCAGCGTTTGTGAGGAAGACGATGAACTGGCACAGGTAGAGGGCGTACGAGAGTCGGCTGGTCAGCACCAAGAAACGACTGCTGAGAAGGTTCAATAGCCAATCTGAAACAGAAAATAAACTTACTGTTGGTATACTCGCATTGTGCTCTTGAAATTCAAAATCTTATCTTATGTAATCTTTCTTAAATCATGAATGTTTCAAATTCTGCTAAGACTGTATATCTCAATTAAGGTGCATAAAAATATACATAGACAATATAATTTGTGAATGTCCTGGGACAACAAAAAATTCGTCTTCGTAAACTCTACCATTGAAGTGAATGTTGGTGGTATTACTGGCTTATTAGTGAATTATTTGTTACTAGCTTATTTGTCACCCACGTGAAATTTAGTGTACAATCATACTGTAAAGTTTCATCAAAATCCATTCAGTAGTTTTAGCGTGAAAGAGTAATAAACATCCAGCCATCCAGATTCCAGACATCCATACAAACTTTCGCATTTATAAATTAGTAGGACAAAATCACATTAAAATTTATTACCATCACATTAGAAGCTACAGTTCTGTGTTTCATAGACACTCATTCATCTAGATCAGTGGTTCTTAACCGGTGGTCCGCGGACTACTGGTGGTCCCTGGAGGCATTCCAAGTGGTCTACGAAGACATCGTAATAAACAAGTGACGTGACATGATGAGTCGAGTCAACACAATGCAAACGGCGCACAGTGGGGGAGAAATCGACCTCGCCTTTCATAGGATTTTGAAAAAAAAAAAAGTGGTCCCTGACAAGACAGAAATTTGGTAAAACGGTCCCTCGTGACTTAAAGGTTAAGAACCACTGATCTAGATTCTAGAACTAACCACAGTGCCCACTGTGCACGATGTAGATAATCCAGGCGATAGCCAAGGCCGAGGCCACGGGTGCAAAAGTCGCGTATTGGGCAGCAAACGTTACGTTGTACCGGTACGTGGTGGATCCAGCGTCTAGTCCTGCCCACCACACCAGACCCCAGAGGTTCAGGCTGGTCAACCAGCCGAGGATCAGCATTATCTGAAAAGAAAATTGGAGATTTCGAAAAGTTGTGGAAAGTTTTTGCCAGTGTTTGTGCAGTGTGCAATAAAGAAGCGCCTTTTTTAGGTACTTAGATACAAATTACGTTTCGTACCCAACTTTTTATTAATTGCTAGTGCAATATAAGATTTTAAATTATTGGTGGTGGTGAATATGTATATCGAACTATGGACGTTTTTTTTTTGCAGTGCCTATACTGCTTGTATACTCCTCATCTTAGAATTGCTAAAAGTCTCGTAACATTTATTTAATTTAAAAAATGTTGACGAAACACTATTAATAGCAAACTGGATTAAATGACAAAAAATAGATACGGTCAAGAATTCAATTTTAAGACGTAAAACTAAACTAACTCGTGTAAGCACTATGAATATGTAACAAACTGGATTTTAGATATACGGTCAAAGGGCACAGCCAATCAAAAAAATAAATATAGCAACGTCATCGTTTGGAGATGATGTAAAACTAAACAAAAACACTATGAATAATGTAACAAACTGGATTTGATGGAATATACATAGAAGTAGGGCCAAAGAACATAGTCGACCAGAACATAAATATTAGAGACGTCATCACTTAGAGATGACGTAAAACTGAACAAAAATCACAATGAATATGTAACAAACTGGATAAGGTGGAATAAAGGTATGGTCAATGAGCATAATTAACCAGAAAATAAATATTAATGACGCCATCACTTAGAGATGACGTTAAACTTAACAAAAAAAATATGAATATGTAAATGGAACTAAAAACTGGACTAAGTAGACTAGAGGTAGGGCCAAAAAAGAATTCCACAGAGCAACTCAATTATTTATAACACGAGTTTGGTGGTCTCGGTATAGAGACTTTGTACTTAACGGAGATCAATATCTAGAATACTTATCGGTCATTCGAATTTACGTAGGATTGAATGGCGTGCTTGGTCGATTTTTTTAGTGTAGATTTTTTTCTTGCCATTGTTAATGTTGTTTTTATTTGTCCATAACTCCAAATGAGGATTATTTTAATGTAATATATCAGAAACCAGCTATTTTCATGAAAAATCGCACTAGTTACATGTGCCAGAATGTTTAGCTTGATTTGCCATCATCCATGCAACGTACCAACAATACCTAAAGCCTTGACCACCTAGTCCATCGCAAAATAAATTTTACAAGTACTATGCATTACACTGCTTGCAAGTTGAGTACTTACTCTTTTGCTAGGACTAGAGTACATTAATCACTTAAGTATTTATAATTTAGGTAACAGGTCTTTCAGCTCACCTTCCCATGCTTCGAAGGCTTCTTCAAAGCGAGCCCTAGGCTAAGTCCAATCAAGTAGGGCGTAGACCGGTGTAGAGTCGATGTGTAACTCAAGCGAGCAGTTCGGTACAGCTGGCTGACACTGAAACAGAATCGCTAATTAGTAGCATGTTAATTACAATCGTTAAAAATAGGTAGGGCTGGAAATTCTGATTTTGTCTGGCTTGTACTATGATGCTTGTTTATTAATAACAGTAATCAAACTTTATTTTGAAATATCAAATTAAAATTATCGAGCTCGCGGGACTCGTTTTATACAGAAGAGGACTCTCTCGGCGCATAAGCTGTCTTTAATACCCAGATGAGGCATAGAAGTTAGGTAGGTTTTTTCGGTAGTTCTCACTCTTTTTTCATCCATCATTTCAGCCTATGCCATTTGACTCTGGAATGTCAAAAAGTACAACCTCTCGCCTTTATTTATACAGCTATTGCTTGCATGATTTCTCTCTAATTTATAATCGAGCAACGGCAGAGAAGGTGGTCCATTTGAGCCGTAACCAAACGAAATCCTCGTTAGTAATATTGCCAATCATAGTTTAATATTTTTGCTGTAAAAACCAAATAATCTTCTCACCTAACTCCATGATAAGCCAGCATCGTCAGCCTGTGTTCCTGGACAGTGCTGTACCGGGAGTAAGCGGCAAGCACGTGGATTCCTGGGATGACAAACTTGGCTCCGACAATATCTGACTGTATGGCCCATACTATAGCACTGCCTAGGATCGTCAGCTGCATATCTAGAGCCAGCTGATGGGTTTGTGGTGCGCACTGGAAACAATCATTTAGGTTTTCTGTTTTTAAAGCAGTCATCACTTTAGGGTGGATTGCACCGTAGGCTTGGTTAAAGTTACCATGAAAGTTAAATTTAGCTCTAACAATAGTATTTAATAGTTAAAAGTTTGTTATTTAACAGTTAAATAATACTGTCACCGTTATAGTTACCGCTAAAAACTTGGACGGTAACTTTAACCAATAACCAAGCCTACGGTGCAATCCACCCTATTTCGATTTCTGTTATTATTACAGTTAGATGGTGCAAGCAGCTTAAAGTTTCAGACATTTATTCTCTTGGATCATTGACGTCATTACTCACGCTTTTTCTACACAATTGCTAAATATTGTGCAGGTGGCTTTTCCTTGAGCAGTCAACACACTGACCTTTTTTGTCACTTGTTGCATCGATACAAAATAGATAATAATGTATTCGTAAATTTTATATTTCTTTTGTTTATTTTATGTCGTAAATGCAAATAAAACTTAAAACAAACTGGTCTATTTTTCAAGATTTTATTTTACCCCTCTACATAATTAATGTGATATCCATTTAAAATTAAAGCTTTGGATTTGTAAATTCAGTTAAAGATAAAAAAAAAGAACAGACATGACTGCATGTTGATAAGGAAACCCTAAAGAGGCTTTTAAAATTGTGGATTCACCAAAATACTTATGCCCGTTTTCACCATCAATCCCTAATTTTTAAGTGATCCCTATGAAAACAAAATTCCTGTTATGTATTACCAGAGGGGTCACTTAAAAATTAGGTATTGATGGTGAAAAGGCATTACACTGAAAAAAATGTTTAGTTACTGCTTACAACAACAAAAGTGACCACCGAACTAAGTGTTAACTATAACCAAACTAAGTCTAGCTCACTACAGAATTATTTGTTTAATTTACACAACATTTTGTTCCTCATAACTAAAGTGTTTGGTGGTCACTTTTGTTGTGTAAGCAGTACCAAACATTTTTTTCAGTGTAGTGGTTTTAAAATAAATAAGTAGAGTTAAACCTTTGTCGTCTCTATATGATTTATTAATCATCATCATCTAAAACCTACCATATCCTCAAATCCAAAGTAGTTCTGCACGTACAGCAGGTTCCACCACCAGCCTTCCTGGCAAACTTCCACGTTCTTGGTGACGAGGGACCCCCACATGGGGCCAGAGGAGATGTTGTCCCACACATAAGCGTAGAACAGGACCACGGCTAGCAGGGCTGGAGTCAACCTGAGGAGGAGCAGTAATCATCATCATCATCATTTCAGCCTTAGGACGTCCACTGCTGAACATAGGCCTTTCCCAATGATTTCGACAATGACCGGTTGGTGGCGGCATGCATCCAGCACCCTCCTGCTACCCTTATGAGGTCGTCGGTCCACCTTGTGGGTGGACGTGCTACGCTGCGCTTTCCGGTACGTGTTCTCCACTCCACCTTGCTACCCCAACTTTATTGCAAATTACAGTACAAAGGATGGACTTAAAGCATTCTCTGCCAGTCAACCTTTGGGTCATGCAGAAAGGCAGTGTGATTTTGATTGGGTGTAAACTTGAATAAATAATTAATGCATTTATGCGTAAGCAACTATTAAAATTAAAATAATAAACTAATTAATTAAAAATCAGTTATTTTCCTTTTCTGTCTATATTAATCGATTTCACTTTCATGAAAGAACAGACAAAATAAGGTTTTGTATAAAATGTATAAAGAATTAAGAAGTAAGCATTATTTAAAGTAAAGTAAAGTTAATAATGGAATAGACACGTACTACGACATCAGGTGAGATTGGGGTCAAACATGAATAAAATACGACTGAACATAGCAAAGATACAGTAAAAGATGTTACAACCTTACAACGCGTGTAGTTGCATGTTAATTACAAATTACAATTAATTGTGTAAAGTCTAAAAGGGCTGTGAACAGAACTTGAGAAATGTTACACATATTTTATTTATAATTACGTGTTGCTTTCCACGCTGATAAATTTTAATTGCCTAAGAATAAATAAAATTGCTAAAGATTTGCGATCCTGTGACTAGTTTCATATTTTATTTACTAGCGGCCGCCCGCGACTTCGTACGCGTGGATCCCGTTTTACCCCCTTCATCTATCTTACGCGGATTAGATTTTTTCATACAAAGGTTTTTTCCCGCTAACTCCCGTTCCCGTGGGAATTTTGCAATATCCTGTTGTAACTAAGCTTTAAGTTTACTAAGGTACCTGCATGCCAAATTTCAAGCGTCTAACTTAAGCGGTTTAGATTTTTCATACAAAATGATTTTCCCGCTAATTCCCGATCCCGTGGGAATTTTGGGAATTCCTTGTTTTAACTAAGCTTTAAGTTTATTAAGGTATCTACATGCCAAATTTCAAGCGTCTAACTTAAGCGGTTTAGATTTTTCATACAAATGGATTTCCCCGCGAATTCCCGATCCCGTGGGAATTTCGGGAATTCCTTGTTGTAACGAAGCTTTAAGTTTACTAAGGTACCCACATACCAAATTTCAAGCGTCTAACTTAAGCGGTTTAGATTTTTATACAAAAGGATTTTCCCGCTAATTCCCGTTCCCGTGGGAATTTCGAGAATTACTTGTTGTAACTAAGCTTTAAGTTTACTAAGGTACCTACATGCCAAATTTCAAGCGTCTAACTTAAGCGGTTTAGATTTTTCATACAAAAGGAATTTCCCGCTAATTCCAGTTCCCGTGGGAATTCCTAAGTATACTATAACTTGCCCAGGAGTATGAAGAATAATTGTACCAAGTTTCGTTAAAATCCGTCGAGTAGTTTTTGTTTCTATAAGGAACATACAGACGGACAGACAGACAGACAGACAGACAAAAATTTTACTGATTGCATTTTTGGCATCAGTATCGATCACTAATCACCCCCTGATAGTTATTTTGAAAATATATTTCATGTACAGAATTGACCTCTCTACAGATTTATTATAAGTATAGATATAGATTATGTTTTGACACAATTCAGACGCCCGTATTCAGAAACATTACTATGATGTCTCACAGTGCGCGTTGATGCACAGGGTGACACACGAACCAATCACAGAGCTCTATTCAACGCTGTGCGTTCGATTTGCTGCTTCACTTAAGGAAGCATCGTTTGTGAAAACAGGCGATAGTTACAATTGTGTAAAACTACGAGTATGTGCGCAGACTTTTACACATTATGTTCTTCCCTATATTTTACTAAATTCCACAGTACCCGCTATAGGGCTAACGCATAACTGAGTCAGTGCCTGAAGTATAAATATAAGGATGTTTTTCTGACGTCAAACGTCAGCTAGACTTTAGATGTGCTTCAGACTTGTATGCTCTGTCACGTCATAATATGTTAGTTGTATCACCAGTCTCGTGCGACTCCCATACATCAGGCACTAACTTAGTAGAAATACAAACTGGCCCATATCTGAGGTATAAAGAATATGATGATGTAGTACGTAAGAACCCCCCTATCCGTCCCCCGGACACGGCCTGAGCCGAGGTCCGAGCCTACCGTGGCGCCCTCAGGCCGCGTCCGTAGTCCCCTCGATCGGGCCCACTAGAGTGAGCCCGCCGTAGGCTGGACTTTGGTCCAACACCGCGGTGGGCAACCCTCTAGTTGGGTTCGCCACTGATCGGGCGCCTTATGCGCTCGATACGGCCCGATCGCGAACGTCGGTCTGCGACCGACGCGGACGAGCCTCGCGAAGCGAAGCCCACACTCGGCCTCGTCGGCACGCGCACCGACGATCGCCAAACGGCTAGAGTACCTTCTGTACTCGCCACTCTGCCCGGTGAAGATGGAAAAGCTCCACAAGCTACCAGCGCGCGTCCCTTAAAAAAAAAAACGTAAAAATCCTTCCCAACAAACCTGAGATATCTCGAGAACAGTCTCCTAAGCGTGCTGCTATGGCTGTCCCCACAAGCCCTGTGAGCCATCAGCGCCCCGCTAAGAAGTAGGAAGCAGTCTGTGAACACCCAGCCAGCTCGACACCAAGACCACCACGGCGTGGATACTGTCTGGAAATAAAAGAGGTTTTATTCGCAACGAACGAACGAAAAAGTAGGTCCACAGTCTTAGAACTGGCTGGAAACTCGAAATTGAAAATCGACGACAAAAAAGAAATGACATCTGTTTTTTTTATAACTCATGTGCGTATACCCAGCCAGTGTCATTATAATAATATGCAAACATCAAATTATGTTTAAAATATGTTTGTCAGAATTATATCTTAACTCTACATTGTGATTGTTAATAAAATGTAATTAACTAAATTGCCTTTGAGTAAATTCGCAAATTATAATGTTGACTTGGTATTGTTTTGGATAAATAACGCCTGATACAATACCACCTGCCATCTTTTGTAACGAGAAACGTTGTTCAAATTAAAATAGCAGGAGTCCTCGACATCACTTCATTCTTTGGTAAATCTACAATATAAATAGTTCTAGATCTATATTATAAGAAGTTATTCAAATATTACATTGCTTTGGAAAATTATAAAAAACATTAAGACAGATTTTATGTGCATCTGCTTAGGCTTTCTTTTAGTATGTCTGACATCAGAATGTGACTGAAAAAGAATGGCTATTGATCACACTTTGACTCAAAAATAGTAAAGAAAATAATGAAAGAACTTCATAAAGCCAGTCATAACAACTTATTATGATAGAAGGGATACAATTATGAACAATCTATGAACAATGAAGAGTCTGAGTAAATAAATTATTCCGTGCCCAACCAAACCAATGTCGTACAATTCAAACCATATTGTCATACATAGCACGTGTCAATTTTGTATGATGTGAAAATGGTGTAATTACCCTGCCTTGATCCCATTATCGTTTTGTCATTTCATTACGGAATTCTGAGTCATTTGGACATGGCGCGCGCGCGCGCCGCCAAGCGGTGTCGTCTGGCAACCTGCCAGTGCCAACAAATCGCTACACACAAACAATTTTATTTCCACTAAGAAAACTGACGAAATTCACCCGTAACTCTTCGGTATAAGAAATTTTAAATACTTTCGATCTAGTGCAGTCGAAAAGCTAATTGGAGATTTATCGATGTTTGATATTTCATTCATGAAGCGTTATATTATGTGTATTGCATAGAATGATTGACGTAACCTACTATGTATTAATACTCTCCCGAACTGCCTATATGAGAATCTTCTCATGAACTCATCCGAGTTCAAGTACGTTTGTATTTATAAAAAGAATGTTGTGTCTGTTACACTGTCATTTAGCCTTGATAAGATAGTTGCAGTTAATATTTTATTTCGATATTCTAGAAAATAACTTTGGGCAAGAAGAATTGTATCAAACTATCCCACTGGATACAAGAACGATAGAGAAACAAATACTTATTTAAATAGCAGAATTACACAAATCATAAAAGGTCACAAAACAAAAAGGGTGCATAATGAATAATGCATTATTTTGATCATTGTCATTTTTTTTATGCTTAACAAGGCAGGTATTTGACCACAATCGCACCTGATGTTAAGTGGGATGCAGTCTAGGATGGATTTCAGCGCAACATCGTCCATATAACATCATATCAATCAAAAATGTCACCATGAGCGCATCGATAGAATCAGAACAACGTTACAACACTAGACATTTATATTCGGGCAGATGCCCGCAATGTCCCACGGCTAAGGTTAACTGTCGGCCGGCGAAATTATACGCAGATGCGATACTGGGCAGCACGTGATACGCAGTTTAGACAACTACAATACAAATAGTTTGGAGTAAGTTAGCTAAACTAAAATTTAGCAATGCAATGTTACCGTGATAACGTAGAGTTGTAGAATACAATTTAACTGAAATTTAAATGAACAAACTGAAAAACTGTCAATATGCCAAGATTATTCTGCAGATAAAAGTTATCCGATGGGTGCAAAAACTGCCCTTATTGATATTAATTTAGCTACTTTTATTATTATGCACCTATTTTGAAAAGCTGCTCAAGATTTAATGTAAACTCTGTAGTCTTTAATGTTTAATTCAATATATCGATTTTTTTCATTTTCACTACTTAGAACAAACTTCCAAAACAAAATTAATTCATCTTACAAACACGAGATAAACTTTCTCATTTAGCATTCGACTTACATGTGTAGGTACAATTATGACTGAAATATAATAAAGATTCAGACCCCAGACCTCAAAGGTGGGAAAGTTATAATATAGGTTACTATAAAAAGTTCAATGTAACTCTGCTTTTCTTTATTGAATGCCTTTTAACATAGTAATTTGTTATCCAATACCTTACTGCGTACCTGCACTGTGACAAACTAGTGTCGTATTACGTACATTACGGATTAATACGGATACGGCGCGGATACATTACGGATATGATACCAATCGAGTCAATCGGCGCACATAATCGTTAGGGAAGCGATTGGCTTATTACTGGCAAGGGATACACGTTGATTGATAGCTTAATTAGGTTTCATCCGATATTAGTACTGATAATAATATTATCTGTCCCCAATATTTATAGTAATAGTACTTACGTACATTTAAATTAAAACGAAAGTAATATTTTTACAGAGATCCAAGCTTTTTTACTTTTTATATTTCGTGACTCTACCTTAATGTGTAGGTCGTATTTATAATAATAGTATAAAGTAAAGTTTATAATAATATTCGATCCTATCTAGGTAGGTATATACTAGAAACATTATAATTACGTTGTAATTGGTTCCTTATTAATAATTACTCGTGTATGGAATCATTAATAGTTTCTTAGAATATTGTTATTTTAACCACCCTATAGATATAAACACGTTCATGGTTGCATATTTACTGTAGCAGAATATTACTGTATGGTTTCAAATGTTTTGGTTAACTAGTTTTACAACTGTAAACATCAAAATTTCCATTCAGAAGCCGGTTGAGTTGGGAATAAACTAAAACTAACAATTTCGATTTAACGTCCGACATTTTTTATGCATTTATTTTGACCTAATATCATGCTTAAACAAGGGAGAGTTTGCATTTTTATTATAATGTGTGTAACAAAGGTGGCAAATAAAATTGAATTTGAATTTGAACCTTAAATGAATAAGTAGTATAACATTCCGTCATTTGCAAAATTTTAGGCCTGGCAATAAATTAACTGGAGTTAATTTTAATAACTCGTAAAAATACTACTTTTAAACGCAATCAGTCAAAATACTCAACCATAGTTTACTGTAAGGAAGTTAGTGACCAATAAAAGTCCCAATAATAACGACAACTCAACTCCCTCCTTACTAGTATACGCAATTTAAAAAAACCGGAGTAGCAAACAACACAAAAGAACTCTGGCAGTTTAGTTTTGGCAGTAATTAGGCCAAAATTATAAAGAGCTGTGGTTTTCTGAATAAAGAAAAATAAAATAAAATAAATAAAATACATTCTTAAAAAACTATTTGTGATTGCGTTTTCCGGTACGCGGCCTCCATTCCAGAACCTTGCTGCCCCATCGGCCGTCAGTTCTGCGTACTATGTGCCCTGCCCACTGCCACTTCAGCGTGGACACAGCGTGGGACGTCCACCCACAAGGTGGACCGACAACCTGATAAAGGTAGCAGGAAGGCGCTGGATGCAGGCCGCTACCAACCGTGCGATGTAGAAGTCATTGGGGGACACCTATGTTCAGCAGTGGACGTCCTGTGGCTGAAATGATAATGATGATGATGATTTGTGATTGGCAATTTTTGATTAGCTTCTAGTTATTATTTCCTGAAACTGTAGAAATAAAATAAAATATTTGTGTAAACATTCCTCACCTCAGTAATCTTCAGCCTGTTCGTATAAGGCATGACGGCCACTGGCAGGAACTTATGAGCGAAGAGCAGAGCCAGGGTGGCCAAGCCGCGCACTCCGTGGATGCAGGTGATCTCATCGTCCGTGCCAGGAGCTACCAGCTTGTTGATGGTTTGATACAGCGAGAAAGAGCTTAGGAAGCCATCTGGAAGTAAGTAAATCAATTAATTAAGTCAAGGTCGCACCAGATCATCAAAAGGGCAGACTCTCGGCGAGCTATGGTAAAATGGATCTTGGAGTTCTTCCTTTACAAAGGAGAACGCTGCAAAAAGTGGCTACCTAACGCTGGTCTCTACGAACTATATGACGTAAAATCAAAGCCTTATTTAGGTTATCATGTACCTACCTACCTTTTGTCTTTTGGGGAGCTGCATCTTCTCCTTCACCTGCCTCTTTCTCGCCGTCCCCTTTGTCTGTTTCGCCATCTTTCTGCTCTTCTTCTGACTTTCTCCTAGAGAAATAGTCTTGCATAGTCGCCACAAATACCAGAAGAAGGATGACGCCATAGAAAGATCTGGAAATTAGAACCTTCATAAGTATCTTCAGTTTAAAATATGTACACACGCTCTAGACTAGAATGACGGTTATTTCCCAACAGCATTTCAAAGTCAAACATTTTATTTGACATTTTTTAGCCTTAAAATAATCAGACTTAAGCATATCGTTGGCGGTATTAAAAAGACCTCCAACCCAGTCTGCTCATAGCAATAGAGTATAGACTTGAATAGACCGCATTAAGTGCAAGTACGTTCAGAGCTAGTTGTCACTCACAATGTCAAAATCGTGGGCAGTTCCAACCAGTCCTCCCACCACTCGGCTCCATCGTACTCCTGGCAGTCGTTTGGATCCACCTTGACTCGCACCACCAAGCCGCTGGTATGCTGATAGTGCTTGAGGGCATCCTTGATGACCACCTCCACATCCTGTGGCTCGCAAGCGGTCGGCACGCACACGCCCCAGCTTAGCGTCGAAAAACGCGGCACGAAGTGACCTGGCTAAACAAATCATGATAACGCTTAGTGCCTTGGGAACAATCGTTCGTTTGTTCGTTCAGCCAAATGACGTCCACTGCTTGACAAAGGCCTCCTCCAAGGTTTTCCACATCCAGGTTCTTCCCGCTTCTTAAGAACAATACAATATTACAATAGATTCCTGAAATACTTTGTCTCATATTGTAAATAACTGACTGTTGAAAAGCTCTGAAAGATTCCAACCTAAATTAATTCAAGCATAATTAAAATCTGCCAGTATTTCGAGACACTGAGCTAAATCAAGGAAAACAGTATCAAGATAGCTTTACTTTAAAATATTTATCAGTATGTATATTTTAAAGTCTGTAAACACTAGAAAAAGAGATTGATGTGACTGAGTTTCTTGCGGTACTTCTTCTCAGCACTGGCCCACTTATTGCGCTAAAGCAGTGGTTTAAAAGCCTACTTTCATAAACAAATGAGTTTTATACGTTTTTTTTTTTTTCAAAATATAAAGGAACAAGCACTCACATCATCGATCCTGCTCTTGATCAGGTTCTTGGCTTGCGCCAGATGCACCGGGAGCTCCAGGTCTGGATGATCTGCCTTTAGGTCTAGCCTCGCCAGGCAATACTTCCCCTGAACCTTCACCACACTTCCTGACTCCAACTGAACCCTCGCGCGGCTTGACAAGCACTGATCGAAGTCCCCGAGCTGAATGCCATTGCCTTGGAGTATCCCTGAGGGAATCTTCGCAGTAGCGTCCAACACTGTAATGGAAAATTAAAACTGTGTAATGTGTGCGTCAAGGACACACGCGAACAATAATGCCCTTTCCAACGATGCGCATTCCCTAGGGGGGTCTAGTTTTCGTGCAACACGTATCTATGTCACGTAACGAGCACCTTCACAGAATATGTGACCCAGATTGTCCAAGTGTGGTAAATCATATTTAAAAGGATTTATCACCTATTACAATGTAATTTAATAAACAAATTATTTTGTTAACAGATTAGTACACCACATAATACAAGTATGTAGTAAAATTCCCAAGCGAAACTTAAAGATAACGTCACGTCATGTCTTTACTATTTTAAAGTCATCTGTAGTAAACCAAATATACTCATACAGATTTGTTAAAAAATGAGAGGGAAAGAAAAACAAATTACCTACCTCCACTTCATGGGTAGCAAAACTGGCAACATATTTTATCTGATATCACTACTAGTATACTCGTATGTTTGAATTTAAAGCAACATAGGTACAATATACATTTAAAAAAATTGTAAACCAGTAACAAAATGGAAAAAATATACTTATGGAAATTAAAGGCAGAAAATCATCACTCGAAATCGGTTTTTAAATCCCATAACAAGACTTTTGTCAAAAATCATTAACTACAAAGTCAACAATAACTATTAAATAATCAAGGGTTTTTTATGTGCAACAACTGTTGCTGAAGTATCTGAAACGGTGCCAATAAAAATAAAAACTCTAGTTCTGCAAACAATTGTGTACCTCGGGCGCGATAAGACCGTGAACACACAGTTTAATACATAATACACGAGCTAGCCACAATAAACTTGAGTACATTACACCCTTACCAGGCATTCTATTCAAAAACAGTAAACAGAAAGCGCTCTACATGCATACTATTTTTAATAACGATATTTTCCCGTTTATTTAAATCGAAACAACGCATTATGTATGTAGTTCAAAAACAGTTTAGCTTTGAAAATACAATCGATTTTGGCGAACAAATGAAAAGCTCTCTAAAAGTATAAGTTTTCGCACAGCAAGTTTTAGGAATTCATTTTATCAGCTTTTTTTACAAAAAAATTTAGAGTCCGAGGTGTTGTTGACCGCACTACGCAACTGAGTTTTAGCCAAAATATTCAACTGTATTAAGCCAATAATATAAACAGTAACATGCATTTTTATCAACTCATTCGGAACTGTTACCTACTAAAGTCTCGGCATTTTTTATTAAAAGAAAGCCTATCCTTTTCCAACAAACTCTAAACTCAGATTAGTATAAATTACTTACTGCTGAAGGCCCATAACTTCGTTCCGCGCAACTGCCTCAGGACGATTTGTCCGTGACGTCTACACTCTGGGTTATGAATTCGCGAAAAATTCGGGGCAAAAGTTGGGAAGAATGCATAAAAGTCCTCAAATTCACTGAGCAACATATTCCTGCGATACAAAGCATCCGTCACATGTTTCAAATGACTTTCACTTTTTGGTGACGCCTCGCGACTACTTGCCGATTCCTTCGATGATTTGTCCTTTTTTATATCTTTTTCAGAGTGCTTTTTATGTTCTTCTGGCTTATCTTCTTTGATTTTCGGTTTTGTAACCTTTTCGTCCTTTTTCACTGATTCAGGCACTGGCTTCTTTTCAGTTTTCTTTGCATCTTCTTTTTCAGTTTTTGTTTCTTTTTGTTCGTGTTGTTTTGGTTTCACTTCCTCTTTTTTAGCTGGTTCACTTTTCTTTACTTCTACTTTGGGATCTTTTGATTCTTTCTTTTCTTCTTTCTTAGGTGCAGATGTTGTATCAGGTTTACTTTCCTTCGGAGGTTTTTTCACATCTTGGTGATCTTCTTTTTTCTTAACCTCCACTTTTATTTCTTTTTTTACCGAACTAGATTCTTTTACATGAGGTTTTTCCTCAACTGATTCATCAGACTTTTTCTTTGTTTTAGCTTCTGTTGATTTTTCTTTGGCTTTGTGATCATCACCAGAAGATTCCTTAGGCTTAGCCTCAGTTTTGTCTCCTTTCTTTGTTGTTGCAGGTTTTGAATCACTTTCAACTGACTTCTTTGATGTTACTTTTGGTGCCACCTTTTTAACTTCTTTGTCATCATCATCGTCGTCATCATCATCATCGTCGTCGTCGTCGTCATCATCATCATCATCGTCGTCACCGATTTTAAGTTTGAAGGTGGGTTTTGCTTTTGGTTTCTCATTTGTTTTTGGTTTAGTGACGGGTTTGCTCTCTTTTGTGCTTTTTGCTTTCTTCACAGGACTGACCTTATCGTCATCATCATCTTCGTCGTCGTCGTTATCATCATCTTCATCGTCATCGTCGTCATCATCATCATCATCTTTGAGTGGTATTGTTTTCTTGGTTTTTACCTCTAATTTTAATCCTTGTGTATGCTTACTGCTTTTGCTTACTTGGTCTTGATGTTTCAAACCAGAGTCTTTTATAAAATCCACACCATCATCATCGTCGTCGTCATCATCATCCACTTCACTAACATGTTTTAATTTAAAACTTGATTTCACTTCTTTACGACTGTCCGCTTGTATTTTTTCCCTCGTAACTTTCTTCAAGTCCTCATAACGCTTTGCACTTTCGATTTTTACACTATGCAGTTTCTGACCGACCTTGAGCTCATTCACATCACAATCGTCACATTTTTGTTTCTTTAGTTCGTTTCGCAGCGTTTCGTGGGTTGCTTTAGGTAAATCGCGTACTCGGAATGCGGTGATCACTGTTGCTAGGATAGGTATGCAGATTAAAATTAGAGCTAGCGTCCATTGCGGGCGCGCCATGACCGACGCGATGTTCACGGCGCCATCGTACGTACAACTGAACTTTTCACCCACAAACCGAGTTTATTTCTATCACACACATGATCTCAATGGCAGTTTGGTGGGAGCTTCATTGATGTTCAGTGATTTCGGCGATTTTTTTGTGTTTAGACGGGAATGGTGCGTTTCCCAGGAGATTATTTGAGCGGACTGGCAGTCGGGCACAGCTGATGGCATGCTTCCAAGAGCAGGGTAAAAATAGTGCGGTAAGGCGATTGTCCGCCGCACGAGTCGGATTGATGACGATGGATGGATGTCCGAAAGAGATCGAGTGTGATAGGTCAGCGCTAATTACATTATACTCCTTGACTACTATTATAATGGTAGCTGACACACTTTCGTCAATAATTTGTTTGGTTTGCTAAAAGAATAAAGATTATGGGCCCGCTTTTGTTTTATAATACATTATTCATTGATATCTATATATATAAAAGAAAGTCGTGTTAGTTACTCCACTTATAACTCAAGAACGGCTGAACCGATTTAGCTGAAAATTGTCAGGGAGGTAGTTTAGAGCCAGGAGAAGGACATAGGATACTTTTTATCCCGTTCGAAATTTAAAAAAAAGTCTGCTTATTTATTGCCATTAAGGCGGAACAAAGTTCGCCGGGTCAGCTAGTTCTCGATAAAGCAAATTTACAATAGCTCTTTAATGTCTCTGATATTTAATATACTGAAAATGGGACACGCGTAAACATTAGCAGTTTATAAATTCATGATTTACATTAATTTGTTATTCATTATTTCACTCTTCTAAACAATATTTTTGGTCCCGAAACAATGGTAGAGTGTCATACATACTTTTATTACGTGCAAACATTTTAAAAGTCTTATAAATTACAATATCTATAAAATACTTTTTTTCAATAAGTAATCAAAAGCAAATAACAATTATATTATTTAAAAGTTTGTTTGCAGGTTTAACGTAACTTTAATAAATTAAATGAACTTACACAAAGAGCGTTTTAATGCTTCAAATAATTCTTAATACCATTCAGGGACTGTACTCGTATTTTTCATGCCTTTAAAATTTACATTCTCAATAAAGTGCCCCTTCGCATTGCTTTATAAAATTCTATTGAACTCATATTTAACGTTTATTCTCTCTAATATTGCAGTAAAGCCTAGCTAAAGGGAATTCCCTTTTGTACCCTTTGCACCACCGGCCTGCACCACTGGTGGTGCAAAGGGTATTTTTAAATCCCTTTTGCACCACCAACAAATAGTGCTGTGCTACCATCGACTGTAAAACTAGTAGTAGACTGTATGTTATAAATTAATCAAAACCTACCTAAAAGTTTTTATTTATTTATTGCAGTGCAATAAACGCATTGAAACTTTGAGGGGAATTCTTGGCGGGAAATTGAAGCGTCATGTTCAGCAGTTTTGTTTTTTATATTTGTGTTTAGCCTAATAACATGATGTGTGAGGCGTGGCTGTATGCATGGAACAGCGTTTAGGAGTTGTTTACCTTTCATCATCACCTCATCAACATGAAATGATGACTACAAGACACAAATACTTGAATGACTTCAGAATTAAATAATAATATGAAAAACTTAACACGTGCCTATAAACATTTCACTTCAGACCCACGATACCCCGGGCCTACATTCAACGAATAATTAGTACCAGGGCAACATAACCATAAAGGAGCTATTTTATGATACATGTCTATTTCTCGGGTCTACCAAGAAGAATTTGATATAGCTCCTTTATGATTATGTTGCCCTGGTACTTTAATACATAATTTTAGTAACTCTTTTGAAAATATTTAATAGCTTTTGTTACTCAGAAAATTATTTGGATTTTAATAGTGAAATATATGTTGTCAAATTTTTCCAGTAGTTTCGGAGCCTATTCAGTACAAAAAAACAATCAAATATTTCCTCTTTATAATATATTATATAAATTATAATTATAGATAATCGTTTTACAGATAATGGTAGCGCGGCACTATTGGTGGTGTAAAGGGGATTAAAAAATACCCTTTGCACCACCAGTGGTGCAGGCCGGTGGTGCAAAGGGTACAAAAGGGCTGAATTCGCAGTGTAGTTTCACAGCTAGTAAGTTTATTGCTATTCGCAAACGCTAGGCATTTTCAATTTGGTAGACTCGTTTATGATTTTAATGTCCATGAAAAATGCTGTGTGAACTTAATTTTGAATTATACCTTAATTAAAGTAATTCATTATGATAACATTATGCATTTTGAAAAGAGAAATAAAGACTTTTAATTTTACATTTTGGTACTAATTGTTTAAATGTTCAAAGAAAATCTCTGAAAATCATGAAACATTTGAAATGCACCATTATTTAGTTGTCTAGTATAATTTATGTTATCATAATTCATTAATTATGATGACATAATGTATTTTGAAAGAAAAGAGAACTAAGGTCGTTTTATTTTACAAAATATTTGTTTTGTTTTAATGTTCAAAGCATTCCTGAGAATCGAACGTCATGAATCAAATTTTAAACGCACTGTTATTTAGTTTTCAAGTTTAGTTACTTAGTACTTATTTAGTAAAAGATACGAGTAGAAGACTCTACTACTTTTATTATTACATTTTTTTACTTCGGTACAACGAATATGCTACACATAACTATGTGTCACATGATTTAGTGTCCTTAGCAGTATTTACAATATTTATTTGCATTAAAAAGTTCTCTTTCAAGGCACTTATATCACGTCTCTACAGCTTGCTCTACCATTTCAGGGCGACATACCGACCGTTGGATAGACTTAGTGGCGCTAGACTACAAACTCATTCACCTTTGTCAGTTTGTTTGAACAGGAAATACAATTTGCATAATATGCGCTACATAGGGACAAAGTCTGCCGCACTCTTATCATTTAAAAACTCGTCTAATTTGTATTGGAATTTTGATTATTAAGAAAAATATTACACATTATACGCAAAATTTATGAACAGGAAATTCTGCAAGTCTGATCAGTATAGATCTTTATTGCAAACATCCACTTTATTTTAGACAAATGTGCGCTCCTTGGGATGTCAGGTAGAGACGCGTCCTAGCGATAAGACAACCTAAATTGAGTCGTTTTAATTTGGTTTTTCTTCTACTTGTCTATTGTATGTGTGACAATAAAGTATGATCTATCTATCTGTCTATTTATTAATTTTAGACAAATGTGCGCTTCCTGGGATGTCAGGTAGAGACTGCCTAAATTGAGCCCTTTTAATTTGGTATTAATTACTACTTTTAATTACTACGTGTCTATTGTATGTGTGGTATACAAAGTACATTCTATCTATCTATATCTAGGTATGTATATATATTCCCCCGAAAACATCTACAAAGAGGGATCAAAGGTGCGGGCGCTGATTGTTAGTCCGCACCGAAATCGCCCTTGCCGCGATGCCGCAACCGCATTGTTCAATCAACAGCCCATCAAACTTTACATTTTTGTTCTAAAATAGAACTTCTTACAACGACATACAGTGTGACATTGTTTACCTCGATGTGCCGCACGCCAACCTTCGCGGCCTGCATACATCGCACCGGCCGAGACATCGTTAATTGTTGTCTACGTATCATTAGCACGACGATCTTTTGTTTTAACTAATTGTTTTGTAATCGACGGGGCAGATATTTTAGCGCTATATCTTTGTCTATCTAGTTCAAAGTTGATTACATAATAGGGTAAACTTCCATTCATTGGATGCTACCATGTACAAAACACCCCTTGAACGTCCTTAAAATCAATAATTACTTCAATGCAAATTGCAACTTAAAGCCCTTTTATCTCCATCAGTTGGAATCTCTTAGTTGTTAAAATAAAAATATAATTTTTAATTCAATAAATATCTGTCCAATAACTCGACTACATAGCCTTTTAGTGTACAATGACTGATAGTTTACGCTAGGTACTGATCCTAAGATTGTTTATCAAATCATAGCATTCACTTATACGAGTATCCTATTCTTAAATACCTACTGTCATTTTGTAATAAATAGTTATGTTTGTGAGGACAAGGTCAATGTAAGCTTTGCGATCGGACATGGGCGAATTCGGAAGTGTAAGTGCAAGGCAATCGAGTACATTTTATATGTTTTAAAATAGGCTCGGTCTTATTTATCTAATTTTGCGAAGTCATGAACATTAGATAAATAATGTTGTCAGATCTGTTTAATTATTTATTAAATTGCTAATAAGCAGGCAGGAATATTCCTTCGTACAAAGCTTTAGTTCTTGTTCATTCGGTATTAAGGTATAATTTACAACTGCGCTAAAATACCGGACCACCGTCAGCGTCCACCTACAAGGTGGACCGACGACATCGTAAAGGTAGGTAGCAGGGAAGCGCTGGACGCAGGCCGCTACCAATCGATCAACATGGAAAGCATTGGGGGAGGCCTATGTTCAGCAGTGGACGTCCTGTGGCTGAAATGATGATGATGATGATGATGAAAATACCGGATACTCCTTCAATATAAATACCTTATGTTATAGAACAAAAATTCCATCATTATTACCAATTAAAAATCTTCTTTTAGGGCTATCCCTAACATGAGACATAATAGTTAATTATTTACCTACTTGTCCTTCCCTTTTTCAATCCTTAGGTTGAGTTGCACCATCTTATTATACAAAAAACTCCGGTTATCGTCATAGTTACGGTCAAAGTTGTGGTGCAACTCAGCCTTACATAATATTTTATGTATATTTTAAAATTACTTTGATGTCAAAAAAGTCCTATCAACCCTACATCAATATTGGATCAGCAGCATAACCCTCAAAACAAACAGATAGAATTTCTTACTCATTTACAACATTAGTATCAGATTTAATTCAATTCATTAGTTTACTCGTGACAAATGAAACTAGCAAAACAGCAATACAAAATGTATAAAAATCCGAAAATCCCTAATCATTTTCTGTCGTTAATAATACCTACTTAATCATTATCATAGATAACATCTTAAATGGAAATGTGATAAAGTCAAAAGTTATTACTACTTGTTAATCAGCCATTTAGTTGGCATATTTCACCATTCATTTAAAATGTAGTTTAGAACTTGTTACACACTCATAGTGAATCCACATCTTGTTTTTTGATAATAATTATTATAGTCAAGTAACCAGTTTGACAGATTCAGCTGCCGCTAGGTACTTCTGCTTCATCTTTACACGTGTATTAGTTTATT